CCGGTCATTATGTGTGGATATTTCTCCTTACCAACCACCAATCACCTTTCCAGTGATATCAGTTGAATGTTCTATAATTTAATTCAGTTCTGATATTATCTACCTGGATATGGCTCAGATCCCACAGGGTGGGATCAGTGCCAAGAGATTGCTCCTCATTTTAGGTAGCAGTTGTAAGCCTCAGGTTTTACCTGTGCTTCTAAGCACCTGACTATTAATTCATGTTTAACTAATTTACAAAGACGGTCACAGACCCATGGGAAACATTTTACTTATATTTAGTGACTGGTTCGTTTGTTTACTTATTTAGTTATTTTTTTGTACTGAGGACTGAATCCAAGGAATGCCAAGGTACAACTCCAGGCTATTTATTTATATATTTATCTATTTATAGTTTGAGATAATTTTTGCTAAGTTACCCAGCCTGGCCTTGAACTTGACAGTCCTGTTGCCTCAGCCTCCCCAGTAGCTAGTATGACAGGCGTGTGTCAGCATGCCCAGCCATTGAGTGGTTTATATAAAGGATAAAAGATACAAAGGGCAAGATGAAAGAAAGGCATAGGGCAAAGTATGGTAAACGGCACAGAGCTTTCATGCCCTCTGTAAGGGCGCAACCCTTCCCTGAACCTCCATTTAGCTTGAATCAAAGGATCAAGAATAAAACTAATCAAGAAAATAGAGGCACACGTGCCTCTTTAATCTGGCAGCAGAAGTTGGTTTCCCGTTTGCTTTTGCTCTCACTTCTCTGATTTATCTCTTCCTCCTAGCCTTTCTGGGGCCAGTCTCTGTCTTCCCCGCCTCCCACGCTGTGAGTCAGGTGCATTCATTCTTCCTTAGTATCAACAGCCACCTTGTTTCCCGGATTCATGGCTCTGGACGAGAATCTGGTCCTGGTAGGCAGACACACATATCCAAACCTTGTAGAATTTTCCATGTGATTTTTTTCAGGTGGCTCAAGGCAGAATTTTCTCACTCAAACTTACCTTTGGGTTCTCATCTCACTCAACAGTAATGCCCCTAACCTACATATTCACCTTACTGATTCTGCACCTCATTCACCTTCACACTCTCTCAGCTGTCCAACCTTGTGATTCTGTCTTCTTAGTTTCCTATAAATCTGTCATCTGCTTTGTATCTGCTTATAATCACGGCCTTATTTCATACAACTGGCATATTTCATCTTAAATACAGTATAGTTTATAAATGGTCCTCCACGTGTTTCTTCCTTTCTTTTCTTCTCCATCGATTAATTAGCTACATTGACACCATGTGATCTTTTCAATATGAATTGGGCTTTATTATTTACTTGCTCAAAATCCTCAAGGGATTCATCAAACTCTTTGGTATAGTGCACAAGGTACCTAACATAGGGTATTTAATAAATGGAAGCCATTTATAGCTGCCCATCTTCCTGTCATTCCCCCATTACCTTTCTGATGACTTTCTACCTAAATGTACACTCAACACAAACCTGATGTCACTTCTATTTGCTGCTATTCACATGCCTTTTCACAGAATTTGGTGATAAAACATTATGTTCATATATATTGTAAACATGCATTTTCTCATTTTTTTTTGTTGTTTTGTTTTTTTTTTCCAGTACTGGGAATCGAACTCATGATGTTGCGCTTGCCAGGCAGGCGCTGTGCCCCTGATCTAAATCCCCAGCCACTGCATTTTCATTTTGAGTAAAATTCTTTCATTTTCTACATTTTTAATTATGTTCATTATACACAAAATAATTATCAGTACATTCTTAATTGTTAGGATCACTCTTCACCCAAGGGAATGATTCTTTTCTTTCATTTGCAGAATAAATGTCCTAGAAATAAGAAATTTTAAAAATGATATTTTATTGAAAAAATGAAATAATACCTTCAAATGTGCTTTCTACAAAATAAAACTAAAAGTTTTAAAACTACGAGTTTTAATTTTTCCTACTCTACATTATTGACACTTATGACATCAACATAATTATTTAGAAGGATTTTGGTTAGTGCTCTTTTTTTTAGTATGAGACCAATCTCCTGTATTGCTCATAATCCACACTAAATGTTGACTAGAAAATGTAAGAACATCAGCGAGGTACAGAATTGCAATGTACAGAACCAGGCTTAAAATTGTTTCCAAAAATTGAATCTCATGTTATAGTAGAATAAAAGCTTTCATCCACAGAGAGAAAGGAAAAGACTATGAGATAAGAGACTAAAAGCACATGGTGAAAATAGGAAACCAAGGCAGAAAGAGTGAAAGAGGAAAGTATATTTTAACAGCAGGGAATGACATGACATTACAAGAAAAGAAAAGAGTAAAAATGTAGACACACAGGAGGAAGAGCTAGGAGTTCAAATTAATGACAAAAGTGAAAAGTCTTTGATGGAAAATAGAAAAAAATGTATAAAATGGAGCAAAAGGATCTTCCAATTATATCTTTAAGTTTTGATGCCCCCAAATTGCTATATTTTAAGAATGCCATAGTATCCATCTTGCAACATTTAAAAAAAAATTCTTAAATATAGAACTTGGAGCTTTTTCACTTTGACAGCATTTTTAAGGCACTCTCACAGAAAATCAGCACATCATTGATGCAAAAAGATACAACTTGTTTGGTTTAAAACATTGGAGTACTTTGTAATTAGTAGTATCCTTAACAGCTGTGCTGTAACACTGCTAGCTGAGCAGTTTTACTAACTGACTACAAAAATGTGTTTTTTTTTAACGTAAAGTGTTTTGCTTTTAAGCCTTCAGCACCTCTGGAGTCTAACACTCAATAGCAATTCTACTCCTGCCCTAGTGTGCTCTGATCTTTTAACTGTAAATATTTCAGATTTATCAGTCACCCTGATAAGTAAATGCATACTGTAATCATACAGCTATTAACTTGGAACATTAAAAATAAATTTCAGAGGTCCAACTTAAGTGCAGATGATAAAGTCTAAAATATAAATCTGATATTGTATCTCTCATCTCCGTCTCTGTCTCTCTCTGTCTTCTAAAATATAAATCTGATATTGTATCTCTCATCTCCGTCTCTGTCTCTCTCTCTCTACAACAATGTAGTGATAAACTTTCTTATTTGTCAAAATGACCACAAAGCTTCATGCTAAACAATGCTTATATGGACTTATAACTCTGGAGCTAAAATGTTAAAATAATGCTTTAATAGGTTTAAACACAGATTTGATCAAATTTTGCTATTTTGAATGGAAAGATAAGCCACAGGGAGAGGAGAAGACATCTAAGAAAAATGCACTGATAATAGTACAACAGATCAGATTATGATAAGGATTGACCAGGGGTATGAAGGGTCCAAGGGAAGAAGGCATCACAGTACCCTAGAAACATCAGAGCACCTAGTGGAGAACACATCATTTAAGGTATATCAAGAACGGATAAATTTGAGACTAGAGGCAAAAGGTATGCCCATCTTCTTCCAACTGTGATCTTTCAAATATAGATACTCATTCTATTTTATATGTGATTGTATACTTTTGCTGATTTTTTCTGCTTTTTAACTTTCTTTACAATTGTCCGCTACATGACCTCCGTTGAGAGTTTATCACACTAAATGAATCACCATTTTCTTGATAAGCCAAATTTTTTTCCTAAAAACTCACTGGCTCTCTTCATACTCTTCCCTTTGGTTGTGTCTTATTTCTTCCCTTACCCTAAGCAGGTGGCAAATGTGTCTAGAAGGCTTAGTGAATTTTCAGAGTGTTCCTTGGCTCCACTATGAATAAGTGTTATCACAGGAGTCTGCGTGTCGAATCTCTTTGTATGCTCTTTGATAACTGATTCTCATCTTGTGTAACTTTCACTATGAACCTGTTTCTGCAAGTACATTGTGAGGTTCCTATCACTCTGCAGAGGGATACAGTACTCGGGCCCCTCAGCCCAGTCAGCCGGGCAGTTAATCTCTGGGTCTGTGTATACCCTGAGGAGATCAGTTCCTGACGGAGAGGACCCTATGGGCAGATAGAACTAGAGCTTGTATAGCAGCCATCATGCAAGCAGCAGTTGATACTGAAAAGCTCACTCTAGGCTCTTGGGTTCCCTTATCAGTCTGACGTGTGAACCACTAACAGAAGCACACCTAAAGCTAAGGGCGTGCAACCTGGGATTCACACGTTGCTAAGAGCACCAAGAGCATGCACAGTGACCTACAGCTTCTGAGGTTGCAGCCGGCTTACCCAGGCGTCTAAAGGTTTCTCTTCAGTGGCGGGTTTAAGGTGGCCCTGCACCCCCTCCCCCAGATAGGGAAACACCTTTCAGAATGTGAGAGGAAGAAAGGGACTTTCCTCGGGCTGGCAGCGGGGATTCCCTTTCCAGGAAGGTGCCTTTTGCTCATCCGCCCATCCAAGCTGAAGGCAACCAGAGCCCAGGAGCTCCTGGCTCCTTGGAACACGCCAAGCACCCCGCACCCGCTTTTCCAGAGAAGGGTCTGAAAGCCCGGAATCCGCTAATGAGCTCGCCCCCATTGGCTGTCCCCAAGGCTCCCCCATGCCGTCACTCTTATGCTAATGAAGGCGAGGCTCATTGGCTGGGCCTCGGGCGACAGCTCCGAGGACCTGTGTGCGGGGAGCGGGCTCGGCCGCGCCTGGGGCCGGAGCCCCCGTGCGTCTCGGGGTGCGCCGCCCTGGCTGCGCCCGCGCCCGCAGGATGCCCTGGAGGGGGCGCCTTTCTGCCCGCCGCGCGGGGCTCCCCCTGCCCCTGGCCGCCCCGCTAGGCGCCGCGCATTGTTGTCCCCCTCCCGGGCGAAGTAACTTTTGCATTCCCGCCTCCCCTGCGGTCCTGGGGACCAGAGGCGGCGCCGAGCCTGGGGGCGGTTCCTTGGCAGCGCCGATTCGAGTCTGAGCCAGACTTTGGGTCCTGGGCTTGGTTTGCATCATCCCCATCACACCCCGGGAGAGCGGCGCCGGCCCTGCTCCGCAGCCTCGGCTTCCGGCGCCCCCCGCCCTGCCGCCCCTGCCCTGCGCCCGCGCCTCGCCGCCGCCGTTACCGTCCTCTCCCTCGCCCCGCAGGGTTTCCCAGCCTGCTGCCTCCTGTCGTCCATTTGTTGTTTGATGTTTCCCACTCTTGAGGAAGGATGGTTGATCTGGAGAGCGAGGTGCCCCCTCTGCCTCCCAGGTACAGGTTTCGCGATCTGCTGCTAGGGGACCAAGGATGGCAGAACGACGACAGGTGAGGAGCGTGGTGCAGGGTCGTTCCCTTGGCACGGCTGGGAAGAAAAAATGACAGAGGTGGGAGGCTGAACCGGGGGAGAAGGGAGAGGAAGAAAAGAGGCGAAGGGGAGATCGCAACCCTGGGCGGGGAGTCGAGGAACCTGACGCCTCTCTCCATTTTGACCCTGCACAGCACTTGCTGTAGACAGGAACTCCTTGATTCCACTTCGTAACTCTTGCAAGGTGTCTATTGCATTTATCCGGCGCTGATGCTTTGCTCTGTCCGTGCCTTCCTTGGCCGTGTACGAGGCCGGTGTATCAGAGGTGCGGTGCATGCAAATGCCACGCAGTATCGCGGCCACACAATTTTTAGGATTTTCCTTAGGTGTGGTTCAATCCAAGTTGATGGAAAAAGCACATTAGAAACTTAAAAATCTCCTGCACCTATTTTCTTAAGCCTTGTCAGGCTTGTCTTGAGTACGTGTCTACTTGCCACTAGGAATTTTGCTTCTGTTTGAACATTGGGAGTTTCAGATAGATAGTTGGTTTAGATATGTAACAGGTAGTTAGTGAAAATGACTACCACTGCATAGAAAATGCTTATTTTGAACTGGTAACTGAATAGTATGGATAGTGGTGTTTGCATAGCATGAAACAACCTTTCTATGAAGTATGTTTTTCATCTCAACAGCATATATGTCTCAAAATTAAAGCTAAGTTTCAAAAGTAGAATATTTATATTACGAGCAAACATATTGCTCATGAGGTTTTTTTAATCATTAGCATCAGGGCTTTGTGTTAACTTATAAAATTCCTCTAGTGATCCCTACCAGATTATGAAAAGCATGTTTTGTGTTTTCATTGTATTCGGTGTTTTCTAGAATAATGATTTCGTGTATCGCGTGTTACATTTTCTTGTTTTTAAATGATGTGTGTATAATAGCTAAGCTTTTGACTCAATTAAAATGTTTTCTTGAAGTTCAGTTTGGCATGAATGTTCTATTTGAATTAAATAAAAGGTCCATTATTGGCCAATCTGCAATCTCTGCATTTACCATTGGGCAATGAGCCCTCCTTTTCCTCAGTTTTCAGCTCCCTGTCCTAACTCCTAGGCACTGCGTAAAGACTTTATCTTGGGTATCAATCATCTTTCTTAGTCTCATATTAGTAATTTAAAGGTATATGGACGTTTTGTAGAGGATAATATTTCAATTAAGTTGCACCTTTATAGGTAAAAGCATATATATTAGCCAAAAATTCAGAGAACAAATTCCTGAGGCATTGGCCAGTATGCTAGTAACCTATGATGCTCTGATTAATTGAAGAAATTTAAAGAATATTTAAACAGATCTGCAATGCTAATTGACATTAGATAAACTGTATTGGTCAACGTAAATGGCTGATCCTCTGCAGGCTAGTGGTCACAGTGATTGACTTTATATTCATTTCAGGTCCTTAAGATTATAATATAGAAAAGAGATCTTCATTGTAGAAAGTTTGAGATGGGGTGAATATGTAGGGGACGTATTTGGTCAAAGTGATGGTAGTGTTGTTTGTATTTCAATATATTGAAAATGCTAATTGCTCTTGTGGTAGTCTTCATCTTTCTAAGAATGCTGCAGAAATATTTCAGTGATTAAGAGTTGAGGTTAGTTGAATACTGAATCACTGCTATATTAAAAAGTTTTGTGTGGCTTCACTAAAAATTAGTGTTTACTTCCAGCTCTATTTGTTGTTAATCTTTAAAGACCAGATACTCAGAATCAGAGAGACTTCAATTTCAGTACTTTCCTTATTCTCTCAGGAACCAAGTGGTCACAGACAAGCCATTTAGCTATTGTGAGATTCTGGGTTTTTATTTTTAGTGTGGGAATATCTGCCTCATAGATAACTACATAAAATGGTTACAAGAAGGAAGGACTAATGATTAGTTAGTACTAAGACTGCCATGTGCTTTACCATGCTATATGTTATTTCAGTCAATCCTCAGATAATCTCTTAATATGAAGTAATTATTTTAGGGACAGGGAAACCAAGGTACTGGGAAATTAAATATAAGTAATACCTTGGTTCATGAATGCTGCACCTTGCCAACAATTTGTTTCACAAACAGAAGTGTTGGGCAAAATTTTGCTTCCATTCAGAAGCTCTGCTTTGTGTGCTGAACATAAAAAGGGCTGCTTCCCCAGAATCCTGGAACCAATTAAGTTTGTGAACTGAGGCACCACTGTATTTGTCTTGGGTACTATACCTTAAGGTAGATATGATTCCAGCTCAATTCTTTGAGACTCCTACTTCTCAAGAAAGTCTTAAGGAAAACAAGGAGAGAAACTTTTTTCCACTTAATTTATAAGATTTTATAAAATAAATTTTATAGCACTGGCATAGTTCACATTGTCATTAAATGTTGATTCCCTACCTTTTTCATTTTTGATTTGTAATTTGCACTGCTTTTCCTTATTTTTTCTTTGTTTTGTTTTTGGGATCCCAAAGTAATGTGTAGTAAAATCATTTCCTTTGTCATAGGTAGGGTCACAAATTTCTCTTAGAAATTATATCTAATGGGGCTGGTGATATAGCTCAGTGGCATAAGCATCTGCCTGGCAAGTGCAAGGTCCTGAGTTTGATCCCTGGTACCACACACACAAAAAATTATATCTGAATAGCAATCCCATTGTACTGATTTTCTTCTAGACTCAATTCTCTCAGAATTGATTAGGGAAACTTTTTTCATCTAGGAATGAATAGATCATTTCTATCAACAAATTCATTAAGTGCTCAGCTCATGATCTTTGGACTTCTTTCTATGAAAACCTTTGGCCTGAGCATCCCTCCCTGACAACTAACCTGGGAACACACTGCAGTGGTGGTGAACCTGTGGCACGTGTGCTGCAGCGGGCCCGTAGAGCTGTCTATGTGAGCCCTCCAGCCAAGTTGCCCCAACCTCAGCCCAGCAGCTGACCATTCAGATTTAATTGCAGTGTTGGCTCTTTGCAATAAATAAGTGGGTTTTGGGCTGCAGTTTGGGTATTTGGTCTCTAAAATGTTCACCATCACTGAGTAACTATGCCTGAGAGGCCAAGAAAAGCCGAAGTACCACTGAGTAAAGAGGAAGTTGACTAATAAATGCTTTAGCTGTCTCAATCCTTTGTTGGGATCATTCTGAAATACCTCTACATTGAGTACAAGGGGACTGGGTTGTAGATGTCCATTGTGGCATCTGGTTTAATACTGAAAGCTTTATTGGCTCCCAACACCTTTTTGCTTGATGACGATTTTCTCAAATTAACTCTTCAATAAACTACGTTGCAATTCTTTCTCAAAGATGGGTTCTGGCAGCGGGTGGGATCTGAATCATGATGGCTACCTTTTGGATCTGGAGTCTCATTTTAGAAAAAATGGAGCTATTGTGTTCTAACTGTGGGAAGAGGACACTTTCTGTTTTGCTTCTCTTTAGACATTTTAAACTAAATCTTAGTAAGACATAGTTATCTGGCATGTGAAAATAAATGAGGCATATATTAGATGCATAAAGGGGTATTACTAAAGAAAATGCATTGATGACCCCATTAGGATATAGAATGTATATATTCTACACCATAGATTTTTTTTTAATGAAGTAACATTGGAATTGATAGGTCACCTAAATTTGTATTATGCTACATTTTAGTAACTGCCTGAAAAGTACACACATATAATGCATATGTAATGTGTATAACGTGCATATAATGATTTGTACTGTATATGCTATATCTATCTATCATCTATCTATCTATCTAATCTATCTATATCTATCTGTCTATCTATGCATTACCTTAATGCCACCTTTAATTACCTCTCCCTCATTTTCATTCTGATATCCTCTTCTGGTAGAACATAAGGGAACATAGTAGTGCAGAGAATTTAGCATGTGGACAGCATTAGTTCTGTGATGTCACAAAGTAAGTTTGAGAAGAACATTACTTATGCCTTGGGGATGTCTACTGTACATATGATGCATATTTATTTGTTTTGTATCCTGAATAAAAACAACTATTTCCAATTGCTTGTATAAATGTCTTTAATGTCCATTTATCCATTCAGTTAATATTTGAATGCTTGCTACTTCTCATTAACTAAGGTCTTGAAAAAATATAAAGAGAAATATGAAGCAGTGCTTTTTGATATAATTGAGGTACTAGTTGATATAATTAGAAGTGAATTTCTCCTAGAACATTGGCAGTGTTGTATTTGATATAATGATTTCCTTCTAAAATTTCCATTTTAAGACTGTCAAGAAAGTCTGGCATCATTTGTAGATAGTATATCCAGCACTTGATTGAAAATAAAGTAGCTGAAGTCACCATATTAGATATTCAATGTATTTTGAATATAATATGTGGAATAATGAGCAGTTTTGATGTTATTTGGTGATTGATCTTGAGGTGACTAGAGACTGAGTCTCAATGGTTTTATTGGGAAGCTATTCTGTGATATGTAGAATCATTATGGTGCTAAAAGCCATAGTTTTCTGTTTATGTATTTCTATGATTTATACAGCAACAAATATTTAGAATATTCTGTATTTAAAGACTGGTAAGTTTTTTTTTTTTTTTTTTTAAAGATTGGTAAGGTCTGGGTTTTAAGCACCTTCAGACATCTAGTACAAGCCCTTCTCTTCTTTCATCAAGAATTGTTAATTTCTGGGTTTAGAACACAATGCATTTGATGTGAATAAATTGTTACAATTCCAATTACTGCTAATGGACAATTCTCAGTTGTAGTCATAGAAGAATAAGTCATTTATTTAATTAACACCATTCTTGTTTTTGAAAGTCAAGCAAGTTGTCCAACTCTAGCAATTTAAAGTGTATTTTTAATGTTTTTTAGGTAGCACTTAAAAGTAATGCATACAAATCTCTCTGATTAAAACCATAAAAGGATTTGAAGAAAAAGTGCAAATCTCAACAGTTTAAGAAGTGTTTATAAGAAAGGGACACATTTGAGTAGCTTTTGGAATATGTGAAATTTTGGGTATTA